GAAAACATACTCTCGACCCCTTCGCAGCGATGCGCTCGCTCATCTTCCACCAGCGGTTCGCGCGCGCAGGGATGCTTCCGCTTGGCATATAACGCGCAATCTTTCCCGCCTCTCCATATATCCTTCATTCCCTGGGGGGCAGGAGGAGGAGGAGGAAGAGGAGGGGAGGAGGAGGAGGAGGCGGAGGGGGGAGGAGGAAGCGAGTCGAGCCAAACATCGCTTTGACCGCTGACACCCAAATTGGCACGCAAGCCCAAAAGTATCTTATTGCTCGCTGGATGAACAACAATCGTCGCCGTTAGTATCATTACCGTCATCTACCATTAGATCACCACCGTCATAGATCACTAGATTTTCACCATCATCAACATCATCCGACCACCATCTATCCATTGTCCTTACCACTACCACCGCCACCATCAACCCATCTTCGCAGTCATCATTACAGACACGGGCAGCATCGGACTGCCGGGAGGTTTAGGAGTCATGCAATTATACGTTTAGGTACTATTGACTTGTAAGTATACAGATCGCACTGGCAAAGAGCATGTGTGAACCACTTGCAATTCGACATGTGAGTGGCGACCTTTGCCGTGCAATAAAAATTGCCACCCTAATTTTCATAACCACGACATGCCATCCCAGCACCTTCCAGAACCGGAATCCCGAACCCTGAAACCTCGGAAGCCCGAGGCCCCAAGACCTCGGGACGCGTGTCAGTTGAACGCGTGGGTTCCCGTGGGTTCCTGCCGGCAGACCCCCCCCGCCACCATCCAGAGCCGGAATTTCGAACCCCGAGACCCCTGATCCCCGAGACCCCACCCCGGGATGCATGTCCCTTGGGGTGTGGGTTCCCGTGGGTTCCCCGTCGGCAGAGCCCCCCCCTTGTTAAAGCGAAGTTTGAGCGAGCACACGCTGGATCGGCGGATTTTCGACTGTAGCCCACATCGCCGTTAGCGTGGCTTGGGACGTGTCGCAGGGCTTTGATCCGAGGTGCCTCTGCTGCGGGCGTGCGGGCGGGACCGCTGGGGCCGTGGGCGGGGACGCGCGGCGCAGTGGCGAGAATACAATGGCCCAACAAAACGGGCAACCCAGGAGACAAGGGGGCAGGAGGAGGAGGAGGAGGAGGAGGAGGAGGAGGAGGAGGAG